AAAAAAAAAAAAAAAAAAAAAAAAAAAAAAAAGACTTGTTTCATTATGAATTTATACACCGTGCCTAATATTTTGAAACAAAAGAAATTTGTTAAAAACAAAACACCTTGTGGCCTCAATGACTAGAGGGTCATAGTTAGCAGAGAAAAAAACTTGAACAAAATCCTTTACTCTAGTAATAAATAATTAAATACATATTTGAAAGACCTGACTCTAAAACATTGATTCTAACGTAGCTTAGCTGTTGCTTAAACCTTGAACTTTTTTAAGGGAAGAAAGAAATGGTACTAAGTTGAGACACAGTACCATTACATAACACACATAAACATAAGGCAGGAAAAATTACACAGACCAAAACTACTATTTTTTTTCTGATGGTAGGGGAAAGGCAAAAATAAAAAAAAGTCTTATTATCTACGATGTTAGCATTGCATATTTGTGATTTAAGTTCCCTGAGAAGTGCATGCATGCCTAAAATAATACTTTAAATGCTTATTTTATGCTGATATATGGTAGTGTCATAAAATTCTAGAACTGACTGTATGGAATTATTTATGTTACATTCTGAATCCATACATATAGAGTACTGATGATACAATAACATGTGCAACAAACATTTTCTGGAAAACAGTCGAGTCACATAGATCTGGAGTGTAGGAATGTACAGTAGAAAGCTGCAAATATTTGGCCATATTCAACTTAAGAAGGAACATATTAAAATCACTTTTTTGTTATGGTATTCATTGGTAGAGAAAAACTTCAATCTATGGTCAAATTTAATTATAAATGCCTATATATGATGTTTTTAAACTCACTTTTTGGCAAAAACTATTGTGAGTAATTTTTGGTACAAGAATTCCAGTTAAGTTAAATAATTTGAACAATGTCTTAGAGTTGGCTCAAAAAAAGATTTGACCTAATATTCGTCAACTTCCTACTATTTTTAGATTTCTAAGAATCCTGCAACCTGAAGTCATAATAGGTATTTATCCATTTGAGCTTCAAAAGGTCATTAAACTTCACAGACTCATTAACTTTATATAACGGGATGCCATTTTCCTTACCTAAATTCGTTTGGGAGAAAATTAACCAACTAATTTGGAGAAATGATATGCCACCTTCCAATCATTCAAACAAATCCAATTTTCCATAACAACCTTTAAATAGATAAATGTCTAAGTCAAGTTTGAAAATAAACAGTTCAGTAATTAAGAAAGACGGAACACTATTCAGACCAAATGTCAACCTAAAATGATTTAAAATCACTTTGAAGATGTTTAACATCACAATTTTGCATATACTAAAATGCACCATCTAGGAAATAATTTAGAAATATATACATTTTAGAGAAAGAAAGAATATCAACAGTACAAGTCAAGCCACATCTAGCTTTGCCTCTGGATACCACGCATTTTTTTTGCAATGTATACATTACAAAGACATTTATAAATTATACATACTTGCATACATGTGATAAAGAGAAGACTATCCACAGAAGAAAACAAATCAAAATTACATTTTAGATCCTCTAGATGTTATACATTATTTTACAATGCCTATGTATATTAATTTGAATACAATGTCTCTTAAGAGGAAAAAAACTTTCCAATCTCAATTAGAGAGGTAAGTTATCAGACCAAAATTACAACTATTCATAGGGAACCTCTTTAAAAATCATTTTTCAGAAAGAAAACTTTTAATGGTACTCCTGAGAAACAATGCTTGCATTTAAGCAAAGTTAATATAATAAAATGAAAATTTTCTTTAACAAAAGCAGAGAGTATTGTGCTATGATGATCTGACTGCAGCTTATAACCACTTTGCCCATAGGGAATTCCCTATGCATTGTGCCTACACATTCACCATACCAGGCACACACATTCAAAATACAAGCCAGTGGTTTTATAGGTATCAGTTAGGACATTTTGGTTAAAATGTGAACTACAATAATAGAATTTAGTTTCTTAGGTTGGAAAAAAAATGTAATAGGTTAAGATAAAGTTCCTTTCCTCGGTAGGTTCATGAAAATAAACCTTCAAAATTCACCCTGAGAGCCTATTTAGTGGATAATGAAATATTAAGGAGAAGAGGATATACTTTTAACAAAGTGACAACTTACCTGATATACCATTCTTGCTGGTGTTCAATAAAGCTACAGATGCTGCAGAAACTCTTTTATTGTTCACAGTCTGCCCTGGTTTTCTTGAGGTACATTCTTCACTATCACTGTCCTGTAAATTTAGTAGCCTTGGCTGGAAACACTGTAGTCGACATGATCTGATATTGCTTAATATTTCAGAAAGGGACAGTCTATTTTCACAATGTTTACTGGAAGCATTGGTCCGAGAGAAATTAGAAGAAAAGTCTATAGTTTGGGAAGCGCTTGAAAAACCATTCAGCATTTCAGGGTCTATCTGTTTCAGGACTGGGTCATGTTCTGTGGATATCCGGTCCATTATGACCCTGAAAAGCAATATAAAGCCAAATATTACCTAGAAGAACTTAACAACATTTTCTTTATATCCTCCCTTCCAGCTTGTAAACAAAAACCAGGTCAAAACAAATAGTTTACCTTCCACCTCTGCCAATTCGCCTCCTTGCAAATCCTATACATCTTCTCGGGACTGTGAGCATTGTAAGGCAATGCCTGTATCTCAACTTATCCAAATCTACCAATTCTGAATTTTCAAACGAATGGTTAGTTTGGTCCAAACGAGGCTGCAAAAAAAATAAAAAAATAAAAATAAAATAAAATAAAAAACTCATGGAATGATTCTGAAATGAAGAAAAGTTAAATCATGATAAAAATAAAGTAACTACAGCATTAGCAGAGCAATTAAAATTTAGATATAAGGGCTTCCCTGGTGGCGCAGCGGTTGAGAATCTGCCTGCTAATGCAGGGGACACGGGTTCGAGCCCTGGTCTGGGAGGATCCCACATGCCACGGAGCAACTAGGCCCGTGAGCCACAACTACTGAGCCTGCGCATCTGGAGCCTGTGCTCCACAACAAGAGAGGCCGCGATAGTGAGAGGCCCGCGCACCGCGATGAAGAGTGGCCCCCACTTGCCACAGCTAGAGGAAGCCCTCGCACAGAAACGAAGACCCAACACAGCAAAAATAAATAAAATTAAAAAAAAAAAAAATTTAGATATAAAACTTTAAAATTAGGGTTTAAATATTAACCAGGTAAAATTCTACAAAACTGACTTAAAAGTTCACTCACCAAAATAACTCAAACTAAATTTAGTTTATGACTACAAGACAATATTATATTTTAAAAGAAATATATCTTTAAAGAATAATGTGGCTTTTAACATTTATGTAGAAAAGTAGAGATAATGAAGTTAGTAATTTATAGACTTCCTACAGAGATAAACTAGAAGGAAATTTTTTGGAGTAAAAATTGCACTTCAAGAAGGTATGCATGGGTCAAATTCATACTTCCTCTTTACTTGTAAGAACATACAGTCCATCTCTTTGCTTTCCTATTTCTTCTAGCATTCTATTTTTCTATGTTACCACTTTCTGTCTCCTTTTTCTCAAACACATAACTTATAAACAACTCTCTACACCTCTCCTACATTAAATACACACACACACACACACACACACACACACACACACACACACACACCGCTGAAAAAGCTATAAGTGTATATGTTTACCATAATGCAACAAGACAAAAGGTCTCCAAAAGCCATATATGAGAGCCATCCTCACTACTCCATCGTTACACCTTACTTGAAACCTTAGCATCTGGAAGTGAGGGTCATTCCTTGATATAATATGCACCAAAAGTTGACTTAACAGCACAAAGCATTTTCTAAGTGGGATAAAAAGTTATGAATATAATTATTTGACAATATATTGCCATGGGGGAGGTTTAAAAATGATTCCTTTATGTTTGATACTTACTGGGTTTGTATGGAAAAGATGGGCTTGCCCAAAAGTAAATTTCAATAAACACTCATCATCCATCTAGGGTTCCAATAGAGATTCTGGGCTCACCTAACTCCAGCAATGACATAGTGAGTAGCTGTCGTAACTGCTGAAGTTATAGTTAAAGCCCAAAGTGAGCTAGACTTCTAAAATTTGAACAGTTATCAATTTCCAAATAAAGGGTTCTGATCTCCTTTGAAAGGACTCAGTACCTTCGAGCATCTTTTACTGGTATCTGCATAGGGGATATTAAATAAAAAATGCTGACTGACTTCCCATTTTTAGATCAAGACTAAGTCACCTTGACATGAGTTACCTGTTAATTCCAGTTCACAAAAACACCACAAAAAATAAAGTTCTTACAGCATAATACTGGCATCCTGCCCGCCTCCTGAAAGCACAGGGACCATCAGGATCATTTTCTTCTTCGGGTTCTGATACTGGGGACGGTACCTAGAAAAAGAGGCATGAAGCATTCCATTTAGGAGTTATCAAAAGTCAACAATCTTTGTAATGGTCTAAAATTAGAATCTGATCACAAACAGTGAATCACTCCTATATTACATACAGTAAGCAGTGAATTCCCCAAAACACTGAAAGATTAGCAAAATTTTTCTATGGTTAAAAATCATTATTCTTAATGGACTGGTTCTTGCAGGTAAGTTCACATGGTATTATTGCTTAACTGTTTCTGAACATGCAAGGGTTATAGGCTTAAAAAGAATTAGTATGGTTTTTATATATCCCATTTACATTTTGTAAATATTATATGTGGCCATAAATACTTTGTAATAATAGTTATGCTTCACCTATAAGTAGAGATGTTTTTACACAATAACTTTATTTCTCTATAATAAAGCCCAAAACTAGGAAGATAAAAAAGGTTTATGAATAGCCTCCCATCCCCAAAAGCCAAAAAGGTCATACATTTCACTCAAAGGGAGTCTCTTATTTCCCCTCATTTTTATAAATCACTTTTTAAATTTAGCAGATCAGAAGCAGAGAATCAGAAGAGGAAAGAGGACCTGCTAAAAGGTAAGCAGACTGGCTGCAGAGAGAAGTACTAAGCCCACCACCTGACAGCAAAAGAAAAGACTTTCAAAAAGCTGTCACATATTAAAAAGCATAGGACCAAGTGATACTAGGTCAAATATCCCTACATAATCTAAGTGGACCTCTAGGGCAGCACTGATATATTATACAACAGCAAACTTTATAAATGTCATCAAAAACAGATTAAATGAAATACAAATATACTCTGATATGGCAGGGAAATAATATGGTCTAGATAAATTTCTACCCATAATGGTTAAAATTAAAAAAAAAAAGTTTTAGTACTTAAGTTTCAGTTGTCTCACAATTTCACTTTGGAGTACATCTCTTTTTCTGACAACGCTGACTCAACCATATTTACTTGCAAATTACCTCACGAATCCCTCTCTTCCTATTTTGAGAGGAAAAATGCTTTCTCCACATTATTTCCAAACTGTGGTAATTACCACTGAGCAGGGTCATCCAGGGGAGAAAGGCATTTGTTTGAGGTTCCAATATACCTCCACCAACACTATGGGGGAGACACAGAAATAGTAAGCTGGGGCTAATTCTTCTTCCTGGGGAACCAAACCCAAACCTGAAATTTGAAAGGAAATCCCAAATGTGAATTTTACACTTTGATTCCTTTACAAATCGTCTACCTCTTTTAAAATATATACAGGAAATGTCACAAAGCCTCAGAAATTTTTTGCATCCCTTCCTCCTGACTACCCCAGGAGGGGATTCCAGGATTTGGTCTGAGACATAGGAAGACAGAGCTGATGTTAGGAGAATCAGAAGCATGATCGAGAAGAGACTGGGTTTTTATTCTGCTCTGCTGCAAATCAGTTGGAGAAGTCTGGTTAAAATGCTTGTTCTCTTAAGGCTCCCTATTCCTTTGTTCTTGTTTATTGGACAAAGAAGCAGCATATATTATTTTAATTATCTTTTTAGCAATAAAATCCTGATTTTGTAAGAACTACATTCTAAATAGCTGCCTCACTGAATAATGTCCAACACATGCCTACCTACAGTTTAGCAACAGGGGGATACCATTATAAAAATTAATGTTGTCAAAGACCTAGTATAAGGACTCAGAGGAACCTAAAAGTTTTGAAATGCAATTTCATGTGGGAATGGGGACTATATGAATAAACATATGAATTTAGAACAGAAATGAAGATCCCTTAATAGATGAGGAGTATATGACTAGTATGCTGAGTGTGTCTATCAGGATGGATGGACTGATTCTAGCAATAAGGGAAAAGTTTCTACTGGACATAGTATCCCCCTGGCATCATTCTTAAAGGGCTGGGAGTGTATAGCAAAACTTTACTGGCTTTTATAAATGCATTTATCTAACTATGTCATTTCTTACTTAAAATTATTTTAAGAACTTCCCAGTATATACAATGTCGATAGAGGCCATTTGCCATCTGACTACTACTCCAGGCATCATTCCGTTCACCTCTCTTCCCCTTTGTGTTTTATGCTCCAGCAATGCCAAACTGCTAGCAGTTCCCTCTAATATGCTGTTTTCTCTGCCTTGAGCCCTTCCCTACATCTTCTACCTGGGAAAGACCTACTGTTTGTTCTCTCATTCCTTCAAATGTCATCTAATCAATGTCCCATGACTATTCAAAGCCCTGCCTGAGTCTAACTACATGATCCTCTGACAATTTTAATAAATGATTTCATTTAAGTGCTTTTTAAGGGCATACGAAATTAAACACATTTTTGTGCATTTGTTACAACGCGTATGAATGCTAAAATATTATCTGGGGTAGAAAAACTAAATCATCTACCAAAGAATAAAAACTAATATAATCTAGCCAAAGGGGACAAGTTTTATGTAAACTCCAGATTTTAAATAGTTACAACAACAAGGTGTTTTATGAACTGTCTTGCTTCCAAACATATCTGTCAGGTTGGTTAAAAAAAAAATGTTTTTTAAATCAAGTAAGTCAAAATGTTAAAATATGATAAAACTTGACACAGTACTCTCTTTAGGTTGCCTACAACATACGGAAAAGAAAAAAAGGGCATTGCTAGATCAGGTGCTAAACAATATATGTTTTAAATTGATCCTTTAATATATAAAATAAGGTCTTGTTTTAAAGATAGCACATATGAAACAAAAATTAAGATTTTTAAACTGCAAACATTTTGCTATAAAACTGTTGTAATATAACCAAATAATTATTTTCACAAGTTAAAACTTGAACCAGTTCTAAATTTTCTTTAGAATCAAATAGTTATTGCCAAACAAATTAGCAGAATTTACATTAAAAGTTGTAAAATACAATGCTGGTGGAATTATTGTTGGTGAATATTTACAATGATGTATTAAATGTCTTAAAATATTTATAATCTTTAGTTCAGGAATTCCATTTCTAATAATCTATTTTAAATACAGAGGGAAGAGGCAGAGATGCTAATTTTTATAAAAGGGAAAGCTGAAAACCACCTAAATGCTTCACAACAGAATAAACTTTATTCAACTGACAGAAAATAACAGAAGCAAATACCATTTCAGTAACTAACATAAATAACGTGGAAACTGTTTATGTCATAACGTTAGGTGAAGAAAGCAAGAATCAAAACTCTAAGATGTCAATTATGTTTTAAAATATAGCAATATAAAAGAGTAGAAGAAAATGTCTTTAAAATAGTTTTAAAACAAGCACCTGTGGAAATTCATCTTCATCTGAGCTGTGAAAGTCATACTGCTTAATGTCACTCTTATTGATCACAGGCAGTGTCTCAGGAGCGGGTTGCTGAGACGCTAGCAAAGCCTCTGCTTTAGGCTTCTTTGGGTACTTCTTCTTTTGACGAACCACATCAGAAGCCTCTTCTTTCAAAGACAAATGATGCGGGTGCTGTTTACATGACGATTTTTCCCCCAAAAGGAAGAAATGAAAATCATTTTAGAAAGCACGAAAAACTATACTGCTCTTTAAAAAACATACATTTTTACCCCAGAGGTGATTTTACTTTCTGGTTTTAATATGCAAAAATTATTATGTGACCATAAACTGAAAAATGTTTTGCTTTCACAAATTACAGTGAAAAATAATTATGACACTTAAATTTACTTTTTACATTGTTATCATACTTTAAGATGTTAATGATTTTTAAAAATTGTTCTATTATGCAATCTAGCATTTTAAAAGTATTTAAATTATATTTTAATTTAATTTAAATCTAATGATGAAAATTAACAACTATTTTTATTTTTAAAATGACTTGAATTAGATTATAAATTCATAAATTCATTTCTATGCTCATTTCCAATTTTTAAAAATGTCTACATGTGGGGTAACTTTTTTGAGACAGATAAGCTTATTAATTAGGAAAAAAACTTCACTTTTTCAAATGAATAATTACTGCCTCAACTGAACAATAATCAAACTGTTCTCAGGTACCCCAGAGTTCAATGGTGGTATGTGAGAGGCCATCTGGCAAAGAGACTAACTGATGGGGTGGGTTCTAGCACCCACCTCTCCTCAACAGAGCAGCTCTGTTTCTGTTTTAACATATTGCCATTCTTTTTTTTTTGCAGTACGCAGGCCTCTCACTGCCGTGGCCTCTCCCGTTGCAGAGCACAGGCTCCAGATGTGCAGGCTCAGCGGCCATGGTTCACAGGCCCAGCTGCTCCGCGGCATGTGGGATCCTCCCGGACCGGGGCACGAACCCATGTCCCCTGCATCGGCAGGCGGACTCTCAACCACTGAGCCACCAGGGAAGCCCTTGGCATTCTTTTAATAAATAGAGATCTACTACTTTAAAAAGTTTGAAAATGACTGTTCTAAGCATCAAAGTACAAGCAATATGAAAGTGTAAAAATATTGAGGAAGTTATACCTTTCCCTGTGTAGCTCAGATTTTTGTAAAAACTACTTTAGGGTCAAAAATGTTACACATGATGATAATGTTGCTTAAATGCCAAGTTACTGAGATATAAATGGTTTCATACAATGGATGTAGCTATGACATCAAAAAGAAACCCTCAACTTCTCAGAAACTACTTATATTTTAAGGTGGGATGTGTGACAAAGGAAATATAGTTAACTATGTGAAATAGGGTAGAGCAACAATGGATGCAACCATATTTCTAAAATTAATATTTAAATAGGGTGGGTGTTTAATCTTAAAGATGATCTAAAATAAGAATCAATATATAACAAGGGCTGATTCTGTCAGTAATTTGGGGTTGAGATTTTCATATTCTACGCCTACCAATAATATGCCTTGGAAAAGCACTGATTTATATAAAAAGGATTTTTTAAAATAATGTACAAAATGACATTTATTGTATTGTTTATGGCGAAGCAAGTGTGATTTAAAGGGTAGGTGGGCTAGATGCCTGTGATTAATAAGAAAGAACGTTGCTGTTTGAATTGCTATGAGTTGAATAATGGAGGAGTCTTCCTGCTCCACATTCTTCCTTGACCTTTAGGAATGAACTCATGAAAAGTGAGGATTGTGCACATTTTTAAAAGATGAATTTTCCACAAACACCCTAAGTCACTTTTAAAATCTTGCTACACAGTACAGCTCTACTGGCTAAATGCTCAGCCAACAACCTGTTTCTTTTTAAAATCTAAGCTCCTTAAAGGTTTTATTAATTTTTGTATTTCTCAACTGAATACTTTAATATTCACTTGGAACAGTGAATAATGAATAAATATAATTCTTCAGTCTAAGAAACTAAAGTAATTACTAGTGCTCTTTATTAGGAAGAAACTGTGATCCAGAAGTTATAGGACTTTTTCAAGTCAAGATAGATAGCAACTGATAAATGCTGGTTATGGCAATGGTGATGACAAAAAGAATAACTAACTTCCAATAGTCTCAATGAGGAAAGCTTTAATTTTAGATTTTGATGCCTGCCACTATGATGCAGGATTTGCTAAGCCTCGTGATAATAACTAAGCTTTAATTACCCATATTCTATAAAGAAGCAGACAGCATAGTTGAAAGCACACTGTCTTTGATGTTAGACCTAGACTCAAATTTTGAATCTGCCACTTAACAACTTTATGATCTGGAAGTCACACAGAGGTAAAAATCTATCTCAAAGGGAAGTTATAAGGATTAATGAATCAACGTGTGTATAAAAAATCCTAGCAAAGTGCTTGGCAAAAAGTAGGAACTCAAGCATGTTAATAACTTTCTTCCTTAACCAAACTATTATAAGACAACTTCAGAAAACAACTGTCTGATCAATACTACCATACATGCTTCTCCCCAGAAGATATTCACCTTAGTTTTACATTCTTGGACTTTGTGATGATTTCCATTATGATGAGTTGCTGGAGTGGCATATAACTCTTTTTCTGATCTACTGATCTTCACTTCATTAAGGATTTCACCACCATAGTCTCCCAAATGATATCTTGAAAAGGAAATAATATATAAGAAAATGTTACAGTTTAAAAATCAAAAAGAAATAAAAAACCAATGATACCTCATTTACTTGGAACACAACTAATCAAACAGAGCCAACAATTAATCAGATTATTCTTTTTTTTTTTGTGGTACGCGGGCCTCTCACTGTTGTTGCCTCTCCCATCGCGGAGTGGACGCGCAGGCTCAGCGGCCATGGCTCACGGGCCCAGCCGCTCCGCAGTGTGTGGGATCTTCCCGGACCGGGGCACGAACCCGTGTCCCCTGCATCGGCAGGCGGACTCTCAACCACTGCACCACCAGGGAAGCCCAATCAGATTATTCTTAAGAGAGAAAACTTACGGGAATAAAGAAGCCCATATTTGGGATTTAGTAAAAACAAAACCATCCCCCACCCCCACCCACCTAATCTCTAAGGGACACAGAAGACGGAATCCTCATATATTTTATATTTTCAAGCACTAGGAAGTGATGTTTAGAATGCTTACCTCAGCAAACACACAAAATTTTGTTAGGTTTAGCACAGTCTACTTAATTATGTAGGAAAAGGATGATTACATCAGAGAATACATTTTCAAAATGCAATGAAACAAGTATTTCCTAACTAATCAGAAAATAAAATCAAATAAACATTTATATCTCTCAAATAATATCTTTCAAATAATAGAAACTTTAATAGAGAATTGGACAAAATGATCTCTAACTTCTTTTCTAAATACAACTCAATGATTCTGCAACAACAACAAAAAATTACATATAACAGAGGATCTACACTACACACAAAAATATCCCCCAAATTTGCAACCCAAACTTGTAACTTAATCGGATTTTTAAAACAAAAAAGTAGTAATCACAATTTTCAAAAAATGTAGATTTTGTTATATAATCAATTTCAGTTGTTATAAAGCTTAAATTTGGTTACATTTTGTCTATCATTTGACTAAAGCTGTTACTGGTTTGTAATAGTAGCAATGTTACCTTTTTTCCACAACTTCTAATGTTAAGTGCAATAATTCTCGTTTTGTTTTCTCTCTTCTTTTAATCATTTCCAAAATTGTTATGGCTCTACTAAACTCTCGTCTCAGTTTCAACATCTTTTCATAAGAGGCTTCATCATTCTTACGATTCTATTGAAAATAACAAGTTTAGAAGAATAAATCCAATTGTCCACATTTCCAGCTTCATTCAACAAAATCTTATCAGACCCAAATTCATTCTATAAAAGCAAAATGTTAAAAAATCATCTAAAAAGCAACTACATTAAGAGAACCTATTTAACTCTGAAAATAGAAGTATAAGCAAATATCTCAATAAATATTAAAAAAAATGTTGCCAGCTATTGAAAAGATGGAATGATATAGAAGGGGTAATTCCAATGTAAACAAAATTTTTAAAGTCTGTCTGAAACAAAACCTACTATATCAGAAAAATGAAGTCTTTTCATATTGTTACAAGGTATTTTGCAATGACAGAAACAGTTGTCAAATCAAGGTTACCTAAAAATAGCTAAAATGAGAGGCTTATTTGGGGGCTGGACAGTTCAATACACTACAGTGTAAACATTCATAATGACAGGCAAAGCTTCACTTCAGAAACTCAGATATAAAACTGATTATAGGATATAAAGGATCTCAAGGAATCGAATGATCATGCTTCAGTGTAGTAACACCTCATTGCAGAGTAGAAAAGACATCCAGTGAAAAGTCTGAATTTCATTAGAAGTTCTTACTTTGAACTGTAAGAAGTAACTTGAACTAACTCACAGGTGAAAGTCCTATCATAACTAGAGAAGGCTCAATTGTAATTAGGAGCATCATTTGCATATAAAAGTAACTGTTAATAAAAAAAGTTTGTTCAATCAAATATCCACAGAATACTTACTTTATATTAGGCATGGAACTATTTGTTTTAAAATAGACCACTACCACCCCTCATTCTATATGTCTAGACAGACTGCATTTAAGCAAGCTTTCCATACCTGACTTAATAAAGCAATATGACATTAGAAAGAACACAAAGAAAGCCAGGTTTCATACTGGAGGATTATAAAAGAGAAAATAAAACTTGAGAAAGATTCAAAGTTTTCCTTTTTTCCTTTTGTGTATAGTTACTTGTATTTGAAAATTAACCATCACCTATAAAACATTACCTAAACTAAGTCCCATTAAGGTAGTGCATACCAAATATTAAAAAACACTATGTTAATAAATCATCCTTTTATCTTATCCAAAGGAAATCAATCTTTTTTCCCCTTCAGCAGTACTATGTGAGAAAAGGCAAAAATCTAAAGCATGGTATTAAGCAAATATTTTTTTGTAACCAGGCAGCAATAATACCTTCCGAATGAAAAAAAAACTAACATTACCAAGAGCAAATATTAAAAGTGCTCACTCTGTACAAAGAATTGCACATGTCCCCTATGCTCAAAAGGCTTAAAGTCTAATAAGAATGAGAGATATACAGATTCAAAAGATGAATAATAATAGCAGCTGAACCAAAAGTGCACCAGAACCTTTTAAAATTGTCCTCCTTTTCACTAAGGGTTCCTCTTGGACTGTATGCTTCTCTCCTTTCTTACTCATTCATTTCCCGCTCTCTTTAGGCCCAAATAACTAGTGTTCCTAATTTTTCTTTACCCCAGTCCTGCCCTTTCTGCTCTACTTTGTAACCTTTTATTGTGAAATAATTTCAGATTACAAAAAAGTTACAAAGAAAGTATAAAGAATTCCCATATATCTTCATTCAGATTCTCCAAAGGTTAATATTTTACACTTGCTTTATGTATCTCTCTTTATGTATGTATCTGTGTATGTATGTACATACACATTGTTATGGACCGAATGTTTGCATCTTCTGATAACTCATATGTTGAAATCCTAACTCTCCAATGTGATTTTTATTTGGAGGTAAGGCCTTTGGGAGTCCTGTAGAATAGATTAGTACCCTAAGAGACCCCAGAGAGATCTCTTGCCCCATCTGCCATGTGAGGACACAGCAAGAGGACCATCTATGAAACAGAAAGTGGTCCCTCAATAGTCACCAAATCTGATGGTACCTGGATCTTGGACTTCCCAACCTCCAGAACTGAGAAATAAATGTTTGCTGTTTAAGCCACCCAGTCTAATGTATTCTCGTTACAACAGCTCAAATGAACTAAGACACATAAACATGTATATATATAAACACATACACACATACATAAACTATTAGCAATGGTGTTTTAAATATTTTTTGAGAAAAGTTGAAGATATAATGCTCATTTATCCCCTAAACACTTTAATATATATTTTCTACAATGATAATCTCTTACACAATCACAGTACCATTATCGACATCAGAAAATTAACATTGATATAAAAACTATAACTTAACTTACTGACTTTATTCATATTTCACCAATTGTCCCATTAATGTCCTTCACAGCAAGAAATAGTTATATACATATTTTATATATTTATATAATGTTGCTATAAAGGACATTAATGGGACAATAATCACTTTATTATTAAAATTCATTAATAATAATAAATTCTTTTTCCTGGTCTAGGACCCGATTCAGGATTAAAATTGCATTTAGCTGTCATGTCTCTTTACTCTCCTATAATTTGGAATAGTTCCTCTGTCTTTCTATGGTGATCATAACCTTGATAGTTTCAAAGAGCAGAAGCCACTTATTTTTGTAGAATGTTCCTCAATTTGGGTTTCTTTGATGTTTTTCCACAATTAAATTCATGTTGTAAACTTTTGGTAGGACCATCACAGAAGAGATACTGTGTCTCTCACTCAGCATATCAGGAGTTAAATGATACCTATTTGTCCCATTACTGCTGATGCTTTGATCACTTGATTAAGATGGTGTTTGCCAGATTTCTCTAGTCAAATTAGTATTTTTCCTTTTTTAATTAAAAAATATGCTGTGGGACTTACATAAGCATCTTGTTTCTCATCAAATTTCCCCCATCAGTTTAGCTTCCATTAATTCTAACTTTTGCCAGAAACAATTGCTACTATGGTGGTTGCCAAATGGTGATTTTTGAACTCCATCATTCCACTGACATTTATAAGTTGGAAATCTATGGTAAGGAAAAGTGTTCTCTTTCATCTATCAATCAATCAATCAATCAATCAATCATCTACTTATCCATCTATCCATCCATCCATTTATATCAGTATAGACTCATGGGTTACTTTATGGGTTATAATCCATTACTCTCCTTATTTTGACATACAAACTTGCCCACATCTGATCAGCAGGGTCACCCTTTAAGCTGGCTCCTGAGGCCTTCTAACATGGCTCCAACATTCTTCAATCACATTCTTATATTCTGGCAAAGCAGAATGTTCCAAGCTTATCTTTATGCTTTCCTAGCACCAGACCTAAAATCAACCATTTTTCTAAGGAGTCCTGGTTCCCTTTAACAGAAAATGGTATTTAAAATCAAGATTTACATGCTACTGTAATTGCTTCTATACCCTCTCAGCAAACAGAGCTAGGAAATAAGCCTGTAATATATTTATGTACATACCCATGCATAGATCTGTATCTATTTCTAGCTATATCAACATTAAAAACTGTAAGTTCATACTGACATCTTTTCTGTGCTTTTAAGATGGGCCTAATCCCTATATTCAAATCTACTCAATTCCCTTCACCCTTCACAACTGTCTCTGCTTGGAGCAAATTCCTGTCTTCTTATTCCAGTTACATATTATAGTTCTGACCAACTGCCAAATCTATAGGGAAGTGGTTTTCAAACTGCTGTAATTTAGAGTTAACTATAGATCTTTTTAAACCAAGGCTCATTCACGAGTGATTGTTATGTGCAGCCAGACTGAGAACCACTACCCTGGAAGTTTCCTCTCCCAACTATCTTGCCATACAGAGGGAGGAGAGAAGGCACAAACGCTAACAGTTTTACCTATGGGGTTAAACATATAAACGTATATGCTGATTCAAGACTTCCCAGTCAGTGCACTCAGACATGCTGGTACCTTAACACCATGTCATTTGAGAATGTCCTAAAGCACTTAAGCACTCCCAAACTAAACATTAGTTTAATGATTAAAATTAAATTATAGACTTCCAAGCAAATATTTCAGAAGTCCTTTACTCTAGCCTTTGCATCAGCTATATAAATGTTTTTATGTTTGTGGGAACAGAAAAGGAAGCAGAGGACCTCTGTTAGCTGGTATTCATTTTTGCATATCTCAATGCCTGACCACCTCCTGAACACCTAGGGTGGCCACTCTTGATTCCTTTCCTAACTTTCTCATTTTAAAACTCATAGACATTTCTAAGCAGCAAGAGTGTACATGAAGGGGAATAGTTTTTGGTCCCATAACTGAAAACAGAGAGGAATAAAAATACCACTGGAAAAGAAAATATACCACCTTGGAGAGGAAGATGAAAATAACAGGTAAGAGAAAGGGTAGGAATCAGAGTGTCAGGAAAATGCTGGCCTAGTTATTACACAATGGAGAAATGCCTAAACACAGGAACCTATTTCTAGCAATTCTCAAAACACACCGGTTAGAAAATAGTGATTTAACCTATTTAAGAATAAAACATATTTAAACATTTGGAATATTGTTTATATGTCAATAAATACTGATAATTTTAAGTACTTCATACCTGTTCACTATAAGAAGCCCAACAGTACTTTTCCTTCAAAAGACATTGCTCTATCTTTTGCAATACATCTGAATCAATTACATTTCTTTTAAAAAGTAACTGGAAGTTCAGATTTTTTCAATAATTCAGATAAACCTCTCTTTCCTCATGTCCACATTTATAAAGCTTTACTGTATTTACAAACTTATCTCATTATAGTCTTTTCTAAACAAGGCACTAAATCTTCAAGAAATATCTAATATTTCCTTAGCTAAGAACCAAAACACCAAATTGAAAATTCAGTCTGGGTTAGGGAATGTCATATACATTTGGGAAATCCAAGAAAGAGTTATAAAAACTCTGGTTGTTAACCAGTAGGGAAGTTTCCCCTAAAATGTACTATCCCTGGCAGCTGTTATGCTTCACAGCTGTTATATTAACAGCTGACAAGGACAAGCATTCAAGAGAATGAGAAAGCATTCTTATTCAGGAGAAACAGGAATCCACAGAAAATGCTTTGCCTCCAATTATAATTCCTCATGGTTTTTACATTTATATGCTCCTAATATTCTGCAATGTTAGAGAATGTGTTACCATGTCTGATGTTTACTGTTAATTATGAGAAATGGAAGGCAGAGACTACCAGTCTGAAATAATGCTTTCTTCTACACCGTATCATTTCACAGCCTGAGACCCCATTTCTCTTAAAATTCTGGCTCATCTTGCTTCTGAAAGCCAGATTAGGACAAGTTTGTCAATTCGAAATCTGACACAACCGACAACTCAGAAAAGGAGAAAAAGGTTCCATTGTGTTACTTGCTACTGCTAGCAGAACAGGCTTGAAAATGAACCTTTTCCAACTTCCCATGACCCCACAGTAGTTAGAGGGAGTAGAGTTCATTTTCACATGCATGATTTAGAATATGGTTTCAAAGGAACTCTTAAGCTTCCCAAACAGAGGATATGTATAGAATGTACAGTTTACTGAAGAATTCAAAACTTCAGAGTTTTCCTCCTAACACGAATTTCCTCACATCACTTCAACTGCAAGCCTAAAATGGTATAACCAATAGATTTATAAAGCCCATAGGTATTAAATAAACATTGCAAACAACTGGGGGATAGAAGCTACTGAATAGCAGGCTTTCTAACATAAAGTTCAACAATGTCATTAGCTTCTCTTTATATTCGAATTACTGAAAATTACTCAAGCTATCAGCAAAAAAAAAAATATTGGTCTTAAATACTATCAAGGTACATTCAATTAAATCTAATTTGCATATTACCTTTCTTTTTTTTTTTAAACATCTTTATTGGAGTAAATTGCTTTACAATGCTGTGTTAGTTACTGCTTTATAACAAAGTGAATCAGTTATACATATACATATGTTCCCATATCTCTTCCTTCTTGCGTCTCCCTCCTTCCCACCCTCCCTATCCCACCCCTCTAGGTGGACACAAAGCACAGAGCTGATCTGCCTGTGCTATGCGGCTGCTTCCCACTAGCCATCTACCTTACGTTTGGTAGTGTATATATGCCCCTGCCTCTCTCTCGCTTTGTCACAGCTCACCCTTCCCCCTCCCCATATCCTCAAGTCCATGCTCTAGTAAGACACAGACCTACTAGAGCATATTACCTTTCGAGTTTGCATTTTCTCTGTTCTCCTCCGAAAGGCAACATAAGGGTCATTGTTGGTAGAGCCATCTCTTTTCTCTTGTTTTATCTGAGGAATGAGGGATGGTCCCCTGCAGTTTTTACGTTTTCTCACCCAGTAGTCATATACGGCTTTAATAAGGTAATCATCTTCGTTTAGCAGCAGTTTTGCTTCTTGAAGTGTTACAAGCTAAATAAAAAATTTAAAAATGTCATCAACTACAATGCTTAAAAAAAATTAAAATTAAACTATACCTACAGGAAAAAATGTGATCAGTCTAACAATTATGATCAATCATGATGGCAGAAAACACAATTCAATTCAATCTAACAAAGACTTTATTAAGATTTACCAAAATTAGAAATTTGCCCTAAGAGGTAGTGTGTTCCACCACTTAAAATATTTAAGAAGCCTGGATTAATGTTAAGACTGTAACAGATTTATGACTCAGGAAAGTCGTGAACTGGAAGACATCCAGGGTCCTTCAAAATTCTGATATTCTGGGATTCCACACATTGGAGGATCTACTAGTTTTCAATAGCCTACTGGCTTCTTTCAGTGTTTTTGTTTTTCAACAGAAACTAGAATTTACAGGTGGTTTCTTTTTACCTCCCTCCAAAATAAACTATGAATATTTTCTAACGTATTGCAATTAAACATACACATGCCTCCCTTGAAATTGAAGAGGACAAACTTAGCATGTTTCCAGAAGTCTCAACACTATGCAATCTTGAATTTCTTGTACCAATTACATATATAAACAATTCCTCTAACAAAGCTGATTAAATACTAGAGAATCCTTGTTCTAAACACTCATTTTGTTAATGACATTGTCATGTCTGGGACAGTGGCATCTCAGGGATCTATTTCTCCTTTACCAGTGCAGCCAATATATGCTGACATTATCTCAAAGTTTGTAGAAATTTGCTTGGTCACATCTGTTTCCTTGCTCCTTGTGAAGATCAGAGAGGCTAATCAGCTTTAGTAAGATGGATTAGGGGTTACACATATCCATTTATAGTGAAGCTTAGAAAAAGATTATGGAGTTTTAGGGCTGTGAACCCTTACTGAAGTGATACTATCCCAATCTTTTTACTTTTATCACTCTAGAGATGAAGATTCATTTTCAAAACAAACTGAGATATCTCCTAAAAACTTGGAAATGAGGGGAAAATTTTTATCACTGAAATTTTAAGATCAACATACTAATCTAGTTGCGGGTTGTATGAATTCATTTGAAGAAAGCATGACTTAGCAAATAAATTTTTGCTATGATCTGACTTCTCATATTGGTATAACTTCATGGAATAAATGTAATAATCACCTGGACTTCCAGTCCTATGATGGTGCTTACTAAAGCTAATTAGTTGGTTTCTTATCATAATTTGGCTGCCAAGATGGTTTGACCACAGGAAGAGAATACAGTCGGTATCAACTCAAGTATTCTAGTCTACATGACAATAAAATTATAAGTGGCCATTCTTTGGTTTATTCAAAGTCTCAGTGGAGTCAGCTTAACTGCATCTGAGACGCCGAGTAACTTGACCTTTAAAGTGGAGAGCCAGAGCCTGAAACATGAGATCAAACCAAAAGAACCAATATTTCCAAACATCAACTTTAAGTGGACACTCTCCCACTGTTAGCTGAAGTTCTCTGGAATGGTGATGTATACCTCCAAAGTCTACAAGGACGGTGGCAGAATAAAAATAGAGCTTTCTGGATCTAACAAAATTCCACCAAATGCTTAGAGCATAGCATAACTGGTAGCTCTCATGTGCTCTGGGGACCAAAGGGAAACAATGCTGCGATATGCTATACGTGCTTCAGCTGTTTGGTCATTCTGCTTCTGATAAAATTTTATAACCTTCACTAATTATATCAAGAACTTAATCTAACCTTTGAGTGGGGAGGAAGATAATCTCTTTCCTTCAAGCAGCAGAGCAGTGGTGAGTTTCTTATATAACAACATTATCAAAATAACACTGCTTCCTATCTTCCTGCAGGAGGTGTCAGGAGATTAAAACACTGCCTCAGATTTTCTTCTCTGGTGTTTCTTGCCCCTGCTTTCAGAAATGTCCTTCTGCCTAGTGCTTAAGTACCCTCTTTATATCTGAGGTAATAAGAATTCAATACACAGTTTAAACATCCTGACATTTCCTATGTTAGCTGTAAGTCAACAACTGCTGTTTTTATATTGTCATACGGCCAATTTTTATTTTATTGGATAATTTTGGTTTTAGTCATTCTGTAAAACTTATCTTTAGCTATTCTAGAGCAACTAGTATCAGTGCCTCTCTGCTATCATGGTGACAGCATCAATTTGAGCGGACAAGAACTATTTACAGATAAAGTAGTCACAAATTATGTGACATGATTAAAAATCCACAAAAATCAGAATCCTACTACTTTTATACCTAAGGAAGAAGTTCTGCCATTTAGCATTTCATCTACTAGAAAGCAGTAGAAACCAGTATTCAAGTGGCAAAGGGGTCTGTGATAAATTTATTATTTCCAAGACAGCTCTGACTTACTTGATTTACTTATTTTGGGGACTTAGGGATGGGAGATAAAAATTCTTCTTCTAGACTGCAACAAGCTCCATGAGGACAAAGATCATTTAGTTTGCTTATATACAAAACTCATGGTCTAGCAATTTCAATAAATGCACAAATTTAATACACAAATGAATAAATTACACGTAAAAATTAATGCTTTTACATATAAAATAGCCAATTAAGCAGTAAGTAGTTAATAACTACTATCAGCCCATCATTTGTGCTATAGGTTGTGGGGAAGATAACAAAAAAAACTTTAAGACAAATCCAGTACTTAAAGAAACTTACAGTATGGGAATTAAGGTTAGACAAATACAAATTAAACAATAAGAGAACAACGTAAGAACTTGGCAACTGAGTATTAGTGCAGTAAGATAGAGGACACAGTCACAAAAAACTCCATCTGAGAGTGCCTGTGTTGGCAGCTTACGGTACAAGAATAAATTCTGAGGATAGATACCAAAGGAAAAGAACAAGAGGTAGAGGAGCAAAGGAAGAGGAGATGAAGAAACAAAAAGAATCAGGAAAGATGGAGGTCAACAAATCCAATACTACAGGGATATTAAGTAGGACGCAGACTAGAAAGAGGCTCCTGGATGATAATTAGGAGGCCATCAGTGACCTTAAATAGTGCAATATCAGTAAACTAAAATGGACTAAAAGGTAAACAATATGGCTTATCTTTTGAAAATTTAACTGTGACTTAATAAAAAAGGAGAGACGTAGGGTAGTAGTTTATTGAAAATTTAGGGACTAAAGGAAAAGGATTTTAAAAACCCACAAGATCCTGAGTTTTGGGAGTCACTGGAGAGAGAATGAATACAGTATAAGATCACCTGGAGTTAAGAGAGTAAGTTAAGTTTTGAAAAGGTTAAACTTGAGAGGTCTGTGGACCATCTAGATGGAGATGCCAACAGTCAGCACAAAAAGAGAAAAAAGAAAATCCTGGGCCTTGAGAAAGTGGTCAAGGCTAAAGGCATAGGTATTACTATAACCACAAAAATGCTCGATGAGGTGATATTACCCCCCAAAATAATCAGGACAAGAATACCAAGAACAGAATTTCAAGAAACCCTGATGTTTGCAGGAGTTGAATGAAACGGCATCAGTAAAAGAAAATTAGAAGGAATGGTCATAAAAAAATCATAAGAAAACCAAAAGGGAATGAATTGTATTCAAAAGAACAAAGGTGAGGACAATTTGAAGAAATAAGGAGAACTCAAATAAGACAAAGGATGGGAACTGAAAATAATCACAGACTTTGGCAACAAGAGTTTTCAATAATGACTTCATTGCAATAGTCACCACAGAATAATGCCAGCAGAAGCTTCTGCCCCAGTCCATCTTTTATGTCTTTCTCTACCAACTAAATAAACATTGGTTTAACCACACACTTGATTCCATGCCCTGGGATCTGGTACTATCCTAGCCCCCAAAAAGAGAAAATAAAGAACTCCTTGAATCCCCCCAGATCAGACACTTGGAATGAGGGGAGGCTTTTGCTATCTTTAATCCTTGGTTCTATTAATAAGACAATTTTCTTGTTCCTATAACAAAGCCTTCACCTTAATATCCTATGCAGAAAGCAGATGCTATCAAGCTCTGAGAACCTAGCCAGTTGTTTTAGAGTCTGGAAGCTTGCCACTGAGCAAAGAGAACTAAAATAGGATGGTGCTGATTATAGTGCATAGTTAACTTACTATTTACATGCTTTTTGTTTATCTTGTACCCACGTAGATAATAAGCTCCACAAGGGCAGAACTTCTGTCACTTGTCTTGCTCACCTGAGCACTAAATAAATATTACTAACTGAAATATTACTAACTGAATAGTAATAAATATTACTAACTGAATAAATATTACTAACTGAATTACTGAAATATTACTAACTGAATGAAAAAAAGCAAATTACAGAACACACAGCAGAAGGCTTCGGATGATATAATTTCAACCACCATGAGAATTTCAGAGCAATCATGGAAAACAAAAGAAATGCCAAAAGTCTGATCAAGCCTAGGTTTGCTAGGAAAATTTACACATAAAGAAGAAAAACTGAAATTATATCTGATGTCAGTGATCAAAATCCTAGGAAAACTGTGAGCACTAATTATAATGAGTATCAATTTGATAATTAAACAAATTTCCAATAAAAAAAGACAATCCCTCAAAAAACAAATTAAGTTGAATTTTACAAACTTCAGTGTTAATGTACTTTTTTGGACAGTACACTAGATATTACTTTCCATCAAAATGGGGGACGGGTCCCATCCAAAAAAATGAGATGACAAAAAAAATATGTTACGGACGAAGGAGCAAGGTAAAAACCTACAAGACCAAATAAATGAAGAGGAAATACGAAACCTACCTGAAAAAGAATTCAGAGTAATGATAGCAAAAATGATCCAAAATCTCGGAAATAGAATGGAAGCATGGATTGAGAAAATACAAGAAATCTTTAACAAAGACCTAGAAGAACTATAAACAACAAACAAAAGGGGGTGAACAACACAATAACTGAAATGAAAAATACACTAGAAGGAATCAATAGTAGAATAACCGAGACAGAAGAGCGAATAAGTGAGCTGGAAGAATGGTAGAAATAACGGAGGAGGAGCAGAATAAAGAAAAAAGAAT